AGGTGAATACATCTCATACATTCGAAGACTTTTAGTACAACTTCTGCCTCAACTGCAAGCCTCGCACGCAGTCTTCAACCTTCGCCTGACTTTGATCCTAACAACTCGTAGTCGGGACCTCGTGAATCTGCTCTAAACCTGTCTAAATGGGCCTTAACAACACAATACTCTGCATACTTTTAGCACTCGAATGCTTCTCGATTTTGGGGCATGGCCACGATGGGTGATATCTTTTCTGCATCCCATGAGATTATCTGGTGGAAGCTTTAGCGTAAATGCTTGTCATGTTGATGTTTGCTTGTTGGAATTGAGTGGTAGCAGGCAATTGAAAATAGCTACGAATGTTACATTTGTCCATTTATGTATCCCAGGACTCGAGCAACCACATTTAAGCCAAGTGAAAACGACATTTTTCTATCAAATGCTCTCGGTTTCTTCATTAATAATGTACTTTCTTTCAACATGTGTAAACACGTAAGACCAGATTTACTTGAGAATGCAAATTTAAGGCTTAAAAAAGTTGACAAAACGTTTAAGCCAACTAACCGTTTTGACGAATTTATATGGGAATAAGTACGTTTTGTACCATGTTGGGGAAGTTTTGCATTTCCCTAGTTTGAAGTTATCATATTTTCAGGCATTCTGAATTTCTTACGCTAAACCGTCATGTACTGAGTAGAGGAGTCTCCCTCATTATCAAACAACCAACGTGGTATGAATCTAGACCAACGTTGTTGCATACTTCACATTCAAAAAGTCATAGTGTTCAACTGCTTTTTTATGCCTTCTCTGTCTCAAAATTCGTTACTTCCAGGTTTATTTAGTTCACTTAGCATATAAAACTTTCTTTAAAGTTACCTGAAACATTGTAATGCCTCTACTTCTTGTGATTTGTCTTCTTCTTGTTTCTTTCTCACAGCAACACTTGGAGTGGAAGCCAGGTTCTGCATTCAGTAAATCGCAAAGCCCTGATGAGCTGGGCCATGAACACTTCCAGCATTTCTAAAGAGTTCATAAACGAAGCACACATTTGGGCAGATTTGATGCTCGAGCTCGGCTATTTGCCCGTAGAAAAAGGCAAACTGCCGTACTACGGCCCTGCCGAATGAGAGCACCGTTTACAATAAATAGCAAATTCTTTATGTTTTATTTTTTTCATATGTTCAAGATGTTTGAACTCACACTAGTCTGTTGATCACAGCTACCGATAAAATAACCGAAATGCATACCTACAAAATACATGTTGATTCAACGAGGGCACAGCGCCCCGATTAATGCGCGCTGTGGTATCATTTCGCTTTATGCAGCTTCAATAGAGCGCAGATACGTTCTTCTACTGAAATTGGTGGCATCCTGAATCCACGTGTGTATTGTAATCTCTACTCTGAGTTGTGCAGCATACAATCATTGTGTTGTCAACGTTGGCGTAAGGATTATAATCACAGTATATTTCATACTAAGAATGGGAAAAAGCAAGGATCACAGTTCGCCCTTAATTAATGCGAATTAATAGGAATTACGGTAATTCGGCT